TTGCCAGGAGGAAAATAATAATATTAATAATAACAACAATAATACTAAAAAGAAAGCAGCTTTGGGGTTTTTGCCCAGCTCGGTGCTCAAGCTCAACGAACATCCGGAGAGAAAAATCTGGTGGCAGAGGTTGGCATCTTCAAGATTTATTTAGCTCCCATACAAGCAGCTGAACTGAATGCCAGCCCGACCCCGGTGGAACAACTCTACTGTGCTGCAGGAACCGGCTGGGGCTCCTTCCCACAGATTCATCCTGGCACAGCTCTTCAGCTGCAAATCTAAACCACAATTCTGACCGAAAAAGAGATACGCCTGAAAGACGACAGAACAGCCCACAGTCCCAGGCGACTGCATCCGACAACTTAAATACGTTTAAGTTCTGCACTCGCAGCCGGGGATGTCCCTGTCCCGCAGCGGACAGACCTCACGGCCCGCACGAAGGGGAGCTCCCCGTGTCCCCACGCAGTCTGGCACCCAGCGCGGCAGGAGCTCTCGGCACCCATGCAGCCAGCCTACACCCCGGCATTCAACACCAGGGTGTTCCACCCTTGGCTCAGCGCACCAGGGACAGCGACAGCTCAGAGCCAAGGAGCTCAGCCAGTGCCTGCCAACACTTACAGCACTTTAAACGTTGCTCTTCACGTAGGAAAAACCCTCGCCCAGTTAATCATCCAGTTCCCAGACACTAAAAGGCGCTTCGCTGCAAGGACAGTTAAATTAAAAGCCGTGAGTCGCACACCCCGTCTACACAAAGCTGCTTTACAGCTACGTACACCAAAGCAGCAGCGTTCCCAGAAAAAGCCTGATCAGCAAATCACACCTTAAAACTCATTGTGGGATATATATATTTTTTTTTTTCCTGGAAAACCTACACCACCTCAAAGGCAAGAGGAAAAATTGAAAGAAATTGGTCCTTGCGGGGGGAGCTCGGGAAGGGCGACAGCAGACGGGACTCCACGTCAGCACAGAGAGGAACTCGGGACTCGCGAAGCGCTACAGCCATTGGATCGCCTGCCCCACCGTGTGCGCGGGGCGAAAATCCGGAGGAACTTCTAAGTGCAGGATTCCAGCAAGTCCAGCAGCAGCAAGATGCGAAAAGTAAACCGCAAGGTAACTCAGGTATTATTCCAGGGAAGGTCAGAGACGGTTCAGGCAGCTGCCCGCAAGTATTCCAGCTGGAGAAGAGACTTCACAAGGGCTCTCCCGCTTGCTGAGACTGGGCCCGGGGCCGCCAGCCAGAGCACGCAGGTTCCCCTCTAAGCAGGGCTGTCCCCCGCTGAACTTGGCCGCAGCAAAGCGCCCACGGCTGCAGGGAAAGGCTCCGCCGGGTGTGGGGGTCCGTCTGCACACCCTGCGAAATGGCCACCGCACACCCCACGCCAGCGGCTGCCCAAGCGAGCGCTGCGTGTGAAGGCCCGTGAGCAGAGAGCACACTCGGGGGAGCGGCGATGCCACTCACCCCAGGATCTCAGATTGCCTCAGGCCCTTTGTGTAACCTGTGAAGGACCAAAAGTGTCAGTGCTTCTAATCTACAAGTCCAATAGGGGTTAATGCAAAACCAGAACGCACAACACGGAAAAGCCAAGCGGGGGACCTACGACAGACAAATATTTGCTCTTTCTTGTAAGACTTGCAGGGCAGGAGGCCTGCTGAGACGCAAGGAATACTGCCTGTGTAGCACTCCTTTCCAACAGTATCACCTAATGACGCTTACGTGTTACAGATGATTTGGCATCAGAGCACCAGTGCCAGCACAGGGTACATGCTAGGAAGATGACTCCACGCAACAGGGTTTTCACACCACCTCTGGCTACCGAGCGCTCGCAGGTTGTGTCGGGACTGGGGCTGGCACTGCTCTGACGACACGTATCAGCCATCGGCGCCCACCCACCCCGGGCACGCAGCAAGGTCAGCTCACCGCAGGCAGCGTCCGCCCGCGCTGCCCAAGCCCCGCGTGCTGGCTGTGCCAGGCCAGGGGACGGCTCTCCCAGGGGTCACAGACAGCCATGCGGTAACGCCGCAGGCTCAGCAGATCCAATTTCACTGCCTCTCTCTGCTCTATGAGATGCGAAGACTCAAAAGTCTTCCTGGTCTAGTTTAGAGAGGATGGTGCTTCTGGTTCTTTATTTACAATAGATGTCAACAAAAGGCAGGGAAGCCTTCCACCTCCTCCTCCGCACTGGAGAAGAGCGCATGCATTATAGTAAAGCTTAACCAAGAAATCCTCTCTCTCCGGAGCAAAGTCGAGCGCTAAGGCCAATACTTCAAATGGTCTCATTTCAAACCACTTAAAAGCGCTTGCCAAGATCTGCTCGGCCTTGCAGGCTTGCACAGGCACCACTCCTGCCGCCCGAGCGCCCGCCGGGGTGAAGCCACACACCCAGTGTAAAGGAGCAAGCACAACACACACACGAGCACACGCTGAAAGCCAGCCCGGCCTCCTCGGCACATCACGAAGCAGCAGTGAAGGTTTCAAAGCCCAGTTAAGTCCTTTGCGTCTCTCCTTCACAGATGACTCGAAAGCAGGGCTAGGAAGCTCTTTTGTACATTCAACTGTAAAACACGTGAGGAAGAGGAGCAAGACAACTCTCCTGATTGTTGCTACTGCCTACAGCAAGTTTTGGTACAGGTATCCTCTCTTATAGGCACTCAGTGGGTAAAATGTAGCCACAACAAACTTGCCATCAAAAATCTTTCCAGTCAGCATTTTTTGGGCAGCTTTGGAATCACCAGCATTTGCATATTCAACAAAGACCTGAAAGAGAGACAGGAGATGTAAGACTTCCAGTGCAGCTTGCCACCCACCCCCTCCCAGCCCTGTAACCAGGAAAAACAGCTCCCAGACAACGTTCTCCCCTCTACGCTCGGTTGAGCCCAGAGCAGTGGAGCTAAAATGGAAGGAGCTGCACCTCTGAACTGGAACTTCACCTCTTGCTCCTCATTTCTAAGGGCAGCATGTTTGATGAGGTGGGAGAACATACAACGATGCTCCACATCCTCAGTGCCTCCTCTCCCACCCACTGGCTTCTGCCCTTCCCTCCTGCATCCCGACTCCCCTGAGAAAGCTGTTTGGGGCCCTCCTAGGTCAGGCAACCTTACATAACCAGGAAGGAACCTGTGCTGTCCTTCAAGATAACCAGCTATTTTTAGCACTGTCATCAGCCAGGAGATTTCCAGGAGCTGAGCAGCAGCCCTACAGCACACAGCCTCTTCCCTCCATTCACTTACTTGGCCTTTACCAGGATTCTCCTTTGGAATAAGCAAGGAAACGACCGGTCCGTATTTCTGACACTCCTCCCTTATGTCTTCCAGGATATCTGAGAAAGGAAAGATTTGGTTGTCTTTCACCTTACAAACTAGAGTGAGTCAGGAAACAAATGCAGGCCAGACGAACACATCAAGAACATTCAGCCAACAGATAATTTTTACTTTAAATTGAGAGGAAAAGACTGAGAGGTGCCACTGGCAGAAGCTGGCACTGCTTAATGGCTGCGTAATGAGGTGGAGTGTCTGAACTGAGGCTCAGGAACACAGACCTGCAGGCAGAGAATCCCTGACAGCAGAGGTCGGAGCACATGGACAGAGCTTTTCCTTGCACACAAAGCCTGGTCTTCCAGTGGCTAAAACATTTGGGATTTGTGAGTGCCCTTTTTTTTTTTGTTATGGTGCTTGGAGGAGGGGAACTAACATAGCTGCCACAAACCTTTCTTTGTGTGAGTAGAACCCAGCCTTTCAAACTCATATTCCCAGAGCTCTTGGGCTTTTGCCACTCATATGGATTTAAGAGCAAGCAGAAATGCAAATTCCACCACCATGCCTTGCCACCTACCACGCACAGTTTTTGCTACAGCTTAAGAACTCCAACGAGGTATTTTAGTTCCCTGCTGAGATCCTGAGTAAGTTTACTAGCAAACTTTTGAGGATCTCTGCTACTGGGCTTCAGAGTCCTGCGCATGTCCAGGAGAAGTTCAGAGCCACAAACACATTATGAGGTCTGTGGGCATTTAACCAAAGAAGAAAATCAAAATAAACTTTTTTTTTTCTTCTTCATCTGGGATCCTTCAAGAACTCACTACAATTTCTGCTTTCTGTCTCGATCTTTTAGTGTATTCTCTGTTGCTGCAGTTGACTTGCTTGGTACCAAATGTCAGCTGAGCAGCTCTTTGTTTGCTGTTATTGCACCCATTAATTGCTCTTCTGCTTGCTCTCACATCCCCAAAGCCAACAAAACAGAGCCTGTAAGACGACATCACTATATGGGAATCGCACGGCTTGCACCAACCTTCATATTCTTCTTCGCACTGCAGAGAAGCATCGCTTAGAACATTTAGCAGCCTCAGCACAGGCGTGGGGAGCATCACCAAATCTTCGATATGGGGAGCTGTTTGACACCCACAGAATCAGAGAAAAGAGAAGACATCAAAGTCCAAAGGAGCAAGAAAACAGGAAGCTGACTCAACATGCACAATCATACACAAGCACTTACTGCTCTCTGCAGTACAGTTTTGCTTCTCTCCACTATCACCTGCATTTACAGCTTGTATTCTCACTGTTTCCAGCCTATCTTCACCTGTGCACTGAGGGACTCTCCCAAGAGCTCAGTGCACTCTCCAGTTATACTGAGGCCAGCACCTGAAATTATTTTAAAATTACAAAGCTAGCAGAAATTAAGACTACTTAGCTCAGATCCAGAAATTGATGTGACCTCAAGCGCTGTGCTAGTTGAGCAAACTGCCCCGTATGTATGGAGACGCAAGAAGATGAAAGAACTACTCTGCAACCTGCCTCTCCTGTTCCTGCTACCAGAAAGCTAAAAATAGGCCGGCCAGCTTCTGTACCTCCAATTCCTAAGCTACACTAAGGCACAAGCCTTGTCTCTCTATAGGGTATCTTTCAGTTCTTCCCTAAATACCACGTAACCCCCCCCCTTCAAAACCCAACTGCAATGCCCTGTTTTGAAGACCACCATACAATCTTGCAACAGAAATGGGAAAGACTACTTAGCTACTTAAACAATGCAGGGCTATAGAATAAGACACGGCCACAAGAGGGTGGCCACAAGGTGGGTGAGCAATGACCCTGTGAATAACTTCCCAGGAGCAGAAATAAAGCCCCCTGTCATGGGGCGCTTGGCTTTAAAAACAGGCAGCTCCAGGACGGCCTGGGACAGCGTAGCACGGATGCTGTTGCGGAACGAGGAGACAGTCAAGGTGCCAAACTGCGCGAGTCATGTCTGAGAAGACACTTAGTCCTCTAGAAACTGAAAGCAGCAGGGACAGTGTCACTTCTCCAGGGACAAAAGCTTGATTTCATCTTCCTGAAAGGGACTGGCAGGCCAGTCATGAATTTAAGATCTGGGAGCCCAACCTGCAATACTTGGAGAGTGTTAAAGTTTTTGTTTTTGTTGGCAGCTACAGTAGCCAAACACAATAGCAGTACCTCACAGTTCTCCCACCGGACAGCAAGAGAGGGTAAAGGGAAGAAATGGCGCTAATTCTCCACTCTGAGCCTGCTGACTACGTCTGCAAAGACAGCAGGCCATTATTTCCTTGGGAATACCTTTCCAAGCCAAGCGCAGTGTACGAGGGAGCCAACATCTCTGCCAGGCACAGACAGAAGATGTCAACTTCGTAATGCAAGAGGAGCTGACAGACAAGCACACATGCTATAAATCTCCTGTCTTATGTGGAAGAGACCTTATGAAAAGCTTTTAGGCTGAAAGGGCTTATCAGTCTAGACGATGCCCAGACCGTGCTCAGGGACAGCCCTTCGAAGAAAGGTGCTGCATTCAGATAAGCAGGCGTGTTCCAGCTCCAAGCAAACCTCTGGGACCATTCTTCCACAGCACTGTTGGCAGCCAAGAGGCAACAAGAGATGAACCAGGGACTGAAAAGAACATTTAAGTGCCAATTCGGTCTTCTATGCTGCCCATTTTATTCAAGTAAGTCTGTCCTTCACTTCGCATGTCTTTCTGCAGGGAGGGAGACAAACCAACCCCTAGCACTCAGAGCCACCTGGTCCTCCTGTAACCAAGTGACAAACTTGCACTTCTTGCACTTCTTGCAACACCCTTCTGCCCTAGGAGGTACTTTCTGCCCAGCCTCTCTGCGCCTCCACAAAGTGCCAGGTCATACCAGCCACACTGATGACAGAGAGGGCTGCAGCCTGCGGGCAGCTCAAGAAAGAAGTTGACGAACTGGAAAGTTCAGAGTTGACTGTATATGACAAGGAAAGCCATTCTCAGCTGTCTACTCTAAACAGAACAACTGTATCCAAGCAAAAGGCAATGACAGATGATTTTTTTGACTTCCCAGGAAAGCAACAGTAAATGCTTCTTTGTGCAGACAAGCTTATACACAAGTTTGGCAAAGAAAAGAATCAGCAGCTAAGAAAAATTAAAGCTGTTGTATAAACTTGTAGCACTAACCACAGAAGGGCCTTCCTAGGTACAGTTAGAGGTCTGTGTATTTAAAACTAGACCAGAAAGCACTGCCAATATACTATTCCCTCTGCTCTGCAGCAGTCCTGGCTGCAAGCTTCAGCTCCTTCCATGGAAGGCGGCTTTGATTACAGCAGTCCCAGATTCTGAGATGCAAGAGAACGAGTTTGCTACCTTTGCCTAATACACAGGAACACCAGCATCTCGATGCGACCTCAAGAGGCAATGCATAACCTCCACTGCAAGGTACACCAAGCTGCTTCAGAACAGCGGGACTGAGATTCAAGGGAAAACACTAGCCCAGCCAGAAGCTGGATGGCAGAAGCATTAATTTATGCTGCAGAAAAGCTGGATGCAAAGCTCTTCCCTGGTGTTCTTGAAAGCAAACAAGCTCTGAAGAATGCTACTGTGTTGCTTTTGGAATAGAAAACAGGGAGGGATAGGAGCCTGAACAGGGCGGTCTCGGACCATCTCTTGCTGAGAGCCTGCAACCCACCCGGGGGCGGTGCTGGGGAAACACCACCATTTCATCAAATTGGAAAGAAGGCGCCAGATCAAAGCGACAGTGACATCTGTCGATGACCTGCCCCCCCCAGTCACTGCAAAAACAGGCTCTAACCACAAGAACACAGTGGGATTGCTCGACCTGTGCAGAGGAGGCAGCAGCAGACGCTACCACCAGCCACTGCCCCGGTCGCTCGCACTCCTGGCTTCCCAACTGGGAAACTCTTGGCATAAGAAAAACCATCCACTCACCATAAATAGCACTGCACCCTTCAAACGCACCTTAATGGTCACAATATTAGGTCAGTACCCTGTTCTTTCTGTCCCCTCAGATGAATGGTGCTGCCGCCAATGCACTCTTTGTCAGTTTGAGGGGGGCAGAATTTGTCGGGAGCCCAGCGGGGGACAAGCGACAGCCTGCAGGGCAGCACTGGGAGCACAGCTGCCGCTCCAACCTGCCTGCTGCAGTACCGCAGACGGCTGCCGAGCACAGTAAACAGCAAGGCAGCAGCAGCGAGGGCAGAACCAGAAACACCACAGTCTAACTGCACTCTGTGCTGCCTCCAGTACACGCTGAGAAAGCCGCAAGCAGCGGCGACGTGCACAGCTTACCAAAGGGAATGCTGAAGAACGGGCTGCATAAAGCCTTCTCAGCGGAGGCTCGCTTGCCTTGGTCACAATGAAGCATGCTGGAAGAGAAGAGACACGCTTATGCTCTTGCAGGTGACATTCCTGCATCAAAATCAACTCAGGCTGGAAGCCAGTACAGAAGAATACCCTATCTTTGGGGTGCTTATTGTACAACGAGAAGACTGAGAAGCACATCTTCCAAATCACAGCTGAAGCAAACCAGAAGAATCCTCGAAATCATTTTGGGTACGTGGTAAATTGGCTTTTCTCCTTGATGTCTCTCAGCACCAAATGATGGAAGTTGCTTGCTTACAAGTTCACATGGAACACAGCATGCTCCAACTCCACCTCCCCAGGCCATTCAGCCCATGTCTCAGGCACCCATGCGGTCTCACGGAAGCGATCACATTTTGAGGACCTCCCACATCTTTCCACAAATGGGATTCAGAGCAGCTAACAGCCCAGGGCTTGCCCGAGAACATCCCCTACACGGCTTTACCAGTGGCTCCCAATGCTCTTTCTGCCAAGCCACGTCCTCGTTCACTCTGCAGCCTGAGAGTAGAGTCACAGTACAGCGAAAACAATCCCCTCGGCAGACCTTTCGGTCGAGAGCTGCACAAGTGCATTTGAACATTGACAACAGTGGTGAAGCAACACTGCCTGTCCCTCTCCCTTGTTTCTGACAACACTCCCCTAAAGCAGCAACGTCTCCAGTGTTCTCCAAATACCACCTCACAGGCAGCAAGTGCAAAGCACTGAAACAGCAAATGATGAACACTATGACTGCTATTCTCTGTGCTTACTCCAAACTGTGCCAAAATCAGTGGACCTGAAGCATCTCTGCTAACGCTTGCACTTGTTACCAGCACAGCGGCAGGGAGATTTTTTTTTAAAAGAAAAAAAAAAAAGCATTAGGTATGGGCTCTAAGTTACCAAGAGCAAGGCATGACACGTTACAGAGCACATCTTTAAGCAACAGTTAGTAAATATAAGATACCTTTTGATAAGGTCTCTGAGGTGATAAGCTGGAATGGCTGAATTAACCACCCCCTCACTGGCAAATATGCGATCAATGATGGCAGAACTGTTTGTCTGGAAAGAGAAAGAAACAGTGTTTAGTGAGGAAAAAAAAAGAGACCAGTGCAAAGGTTGCAATGTTCCATCATTTTCTGGATGCAGAGGGCTCTGGCACTGTCGCTCCAGTCTCCTCCTCAGTGCTCCAGCCTCACACGTTAAACCAGCAGGTCCACATCTGATGAAGTTTTTCCCATTTGCCTGTGCGAAAGCTGGAAATTTCCATGTGCAGAAAAAATTGCTGTTACGGTGGACGCTACGATGCTGGAAGGATACTCTGACTGGGAAGGGGAGCACAAAACAAAACTACTTCATACAGAACAGGGGACAGAGTCAGGCTCCATGCTCGCAAAATGAGCATTTATTCATTACTCTTGTTTTCTCCGATATAGACTTATGAAAAGATCCCTAAATTAGACCATACATTACATTAAAATGAACAAATGGCTCCTCTGCCTTCGTGCTGCTGACTTAGCCAGCAGCCATCCATTTCGTTCTTCCTTCTGTGCCACACTGCAGTCAGCACAATTCACCTCCCAAATCTTGGCAAGACATGGGCTCCAAACAGAGACTCCTGGAACCCTCAGCTTTCAGTAACCTGAACACAGGCAGCATTCAGACATGCCAGTCCCACAGGGCAGGTGGGTCCTTAAGGCTCTGGAAGTTTAATTCTCAAGGCAATCGGATTAGAGAGACATCCTGGAAACACTCTCTAGTTGCCAGGTGCTACCTCACAAATCCAGGTTACGAACAAGAAGCAGAAGGACTCGCTTGGTGCAAGCAAACACACCCACAGCAGCTCTCACCCACCTTCCATTCCTGAGATTGGACTGTATGTTTCAGTTTCATTCCTGAGAACATTTCCAGTAAAACAATTCCCAGACTCCACAGATCCACAGCAGAGGTACACTCCGTCTCACTCTGGAGCCCTGCCTGCGCCAGGCAGTTCTGCAGTTCTGCCTCTGGAGCCCGATACCCGTCTGTTTGAATATATTTCACATCCTACGGAAAATCAAACAAACACAAAATGTTAATCTTCCAGATTCAAGTTCTCCACTCTATCTTTAAATCACTTGGCAGAAGCCCTTCCAAATGGCTCACCAAAATGCTATTGCTAAATTGATAGAAAGCATTGCAGAGCCAGGCGTGCTACGCAGGCAGTTCAACTCCCTCTACTGCTGTGTTGATGGGGAAAGACCCCAGACTGTCTAGAAGAGAAAACACCTCCCAGCAAAGCAGCAGGCATCCCACTAACATCTGATCCCTCTGAAAGACAGCACTGCTGGGAGGAAGAGGCTGGATGTCACTGCAGACTGGGCCATTAACATCTCCCAGGTAACCTGCACAGAAGACACTAGAAGTTTCAGGACAAGCATCGAACACCCCCAACGCGCTCCCACGTCGGCTGCATGAGAGCACAAACAACCTGGCCTGAGCAGTGAGGAGCAGTAACAGCTGCCATTATTCAAGCACGGATGTTATCTGGAACAAAATGTTACAAAAGTGAAGCAGGCACCTAACCCTCAGACAAGGAAATTATCAAAGGCGCTTCCCACGCACCTCTTCCTTCTCCCTCTCGCAGCCAGAAGTGCTGCAGCAATCAATACCTGCCCAGCTGCCACGGCTGGCAGAGTAAAACAAAATGCCCACATGCAGCCTGCTCCAGAGAAAACAGGAAATTATAGAATCACACAAGTGCCGGCCAGAGGAGCCGCTCTGAAGGTCTCCAGTCCAGCCTCCTGCTCACATCAGTCAGCTGTGGCTTTGTCTAGCCAAGTCCTGTAAGCGCCCGAACACAAACTGCATGCTGCGTCTTGTTGACACGGGAGGGCTTGTTTTAGACACACTGATACGACCCAAGGAATGACAGAAGAATATGCAAGCCTACGTCCTGGGTAAGGCACAGGACTGGGAATCCTTACCAGCGGAATATATTCAAACCAAATTTATCTGGTTCTCTGATTGAAAATAAAGTTTACAACAGCCATTTTCAGGCAACAGAGCTCAAAAGAGTTTTATGAACTTAAAAAGAACTGATACACAAATTGCTCACCAGCGTCCCTTCCCCTGTCAGCAAAGAGCTGAACCTCTAGCATGGCAAAAGCAGCAGTTTGGCAGCTCCACCAAACCACTTTTAGAGATAGAGAAAACACCACGGTCAATGCCACCAGCAAAAAGAGTGAGATGGAATTTCACTCCTACCACCTAAAGCATTTTGAGAGATGCAAGTGGCCGAGACCTTGCTCTGTGTACAGCCATTCTCTGTTAAACAGTAACGGCAGGAAAAGTTATGCAAGGATAAGCTCGGCAGAGCTGCCGCAAATAAAAGTAGTATAATCTCGACTCGGATAAGGAAATCACGCACATATGCTGCTGCCTGAGGCAGGGGTGGTGAGGGGAAGCTGATGCCTGGTGCACATTCAAAGCAGGGTCAGAAGGTTCTCTATAGCCAGTGTATTCCTGAGAAGAGGCAAAGGAAACTCTGCCCAAAGGAAGCAGCCTGGAAGGAACCACGGAAGCAAACGAAACACCTGATCAACGATTATGGGGCAACTCACAGAGCATGCAGCAAAACACAGACCCGAAGAAAAAAAATATCTGCATTACACCAGGCTCCAGGAGAATGTTTTCTTGCTGATAAGACAGCAACAGATTACCAGCACAAACCAGCGTTCAGCCAAGAACGTGGGAGAACTGAAGAACAACATGGAGGAGTTAAGCAGTACAAGCATTAAAACCAGCTCCCGTACCAAACATTTCAGAGACAGGGCACCCACACAATCTTCTAATATTCACAGATCAATGGGCTGCACCTTCAATGCCAGGTAAGCCAGTAAAAAAGGCAGGTGAATTTAAAACCTCTCAACGAGCAGAGTGCATGGAGTAGGGACAAGCCAGGGCAACATCTGCACAGGAAAACCACAGCTTGTTTACTAGACTTACCGCCCATCACCCAGTGATTAACAGCGAACTTGCTAAGAGGCTACATGATGAACAAACTTTACTGATACCCCTCGCAGGCGGTTACTCAGAGCGGGGGTGGTGGTGAAAAGAAGCTCTATCAGGCCAACAGCAGAACCTCCTGAGGCTCTCTGCTGTCATCAGAGGCCACGGAACATAATAAAAAGGGCAAGGACAAAATAACAAAACCCAGTATCACCGAAACAAAAAAATGACAGCATGAAGAGAGTGAAAGCCCGAACGGGAAAAGCAGAGCAGAACAGGCAGAGATCCGTCCGTGTCAGTAAAGAATGGGCATTGCCTACACACAACCAGAGGACGGGCTTCCATCAACACAATGACACGGGAAAGAAACATCCAGACTTACCAAGAAAGTGAAAAGCTGCTGAAGATAAGATGAAAGTAAAGACGAGCACAAGGACGCTGCCAGAGATAATGCAACTGACTGGGGAGGCTGATGGTAAAGCCTGGATTACTACTACATACGATAAGGGATGATAAAAGGAAATTCTACAGAACTGGGTGCTCCCACTCGTCTGACCACATAAAAAACTAGCAAGTTTCCCAGGAAGCTGAGACATCACTTTTTTTCAGCACACCATGAACTTTGGAATTCGTGGTCATGCGTAGCACAAAGGCTAAGACACCACCAGAAACCAGAGCCGCGCAAGGAGAAGGGGAACAAGAGTTTCCGTTTCTGGGGCCAAGCAACATTTTAGCCCGTTCCAGGAAACCCTCAGCACCAGCTCAGCTACCACGCTGATCAGGTCACGTCGACTCCTACAGTCACAAGCTGAAGGCATCACAGACCCACACAACCCGACACAGAGCCAACCGCTTCGAGAGCGGCGCATTCCAAACCTGATTCCCCTCTTTGAAGCTAAGTCCAAAGTCAATGAGCTTAAAGCACTCCTCCTCCGCGCTCCACAGGATGTTGCGTGGCTTGAGGTCTGCGTGCACGTAGCCTTTGTGGTGCAGGAAAGCCAGGGCTTCGAGAACGTCTCGGGCGCAGTGCTGGATCATCCACATGGAGCAGCCCTGGTTGCTGGAGTGCAGCAGCAGCTCGGACACGCTGACGTCCAGCAGCTCCAGCAGCAGACAGCGAGACGGACCATTCGCAGAGTAGTGGTTGGTGAACACGCCATACAGCGTCACTACGGTGAGACACATCGACAGGCGTCGGTAACGAGCAATTACATGGACATCACGTCCCGCTGCTCCCCGCTACTGCCCAGGCGGCCACAAAAGCTGTGGGAGGCAGCTCCTCTGTTTTACAAAGCGTGATGTTCAGAGAGATGGAGAACCTAAGCTGAGAGGAAAGCAGCGAGGCAAAACCAGCCACATCACCCCTTTGGGCTACAAGGATGGTGAGGGGCCTGGAGCACCTCTCCTACGAGGAGAAGCTGAGGGAGCTGGGCTTGTTCAGCCTGAAGAAGAGAAGGCTGAGAGGGGACCTTACAAATGCCTATAAATATCTGCAGGGTGGGTGTCAGGAGGATGGGGCCAGACTCTTTTCAGTGGTGCCCAGTGACAGAACAAGGGGCAATGGGCACAAACTGAAGCACAGGAAGTTCCGTCTGAACGTGAGGAAGAACTTCTTCCCTCTGAGGGTGACGGAGCCCTGGCAC